AATGGTGTGGATATTTTTGTCTGTAGGTGGGGAATGGCTCAGGACCCCTTCTCTAAAATGGTAAAATAGTCCAAAGATGTTATGTAAAATATCTTACCAATGTAACGCAAAGTAAACCAATTGAATTTAGAATCGATAATATAAAAATGTCTGTAACAGAGCTCAAAAACTCTTTTTGAATATTATAAAATTCACACATTTCACATCAAATATATAATTGTTGTTTTCGAACCCCCTATTCAAAAGAGCTGCCTACGGGCCTGATATTTATCATATTTTCAACATTTTTATCGACTAGAATATTGTGTATGTCCTATAGTCATCTGTCGACCCGTTTTGTTTACGTATTCGAATTGTGCGCTTCATTTGTGTTGTGTTACCAGCGATAAGAGTAGATGAGATCTTGCCCGCTACTCGCGCCGCACAAGTTAAATATCGTTGTGGTTTTTCGCATCTGTATTGACAATAATATTTTCATTGTCGAAGTATTGTTCGTACATGGATTTCAACATTTTGTATTTCGATATCCGTGGAGACGCCATTAGAGTAATATGTCTGGGTGATTTGCATAGAATGGTGGTATATTGTGTTATAAAATAAATTTTATTCCAGGTGATAAGCTCTCCACCAATCAGCTCGACGTATTAAAATGTGACACATTCGATATATTGAAAATATATGATAATTGGTCCTAATGAATATTAATGCAACACATTACCATGATATATTCTTTCTGCTTCAAGTATCGTAGGAAAAATAAATCGATAAATGTTAACGTCACAGAGGGCGCGATTTACATGGTATACTAGTATGCTTTATGAAGAATATGAATCTATGCACATGAATACCAGCCATTCATATGCAATATGACAACATGGGCGTTAATGTGGAGAAACCATTGAATTGGACTAATCACAATGATAAGAAAAAATGTAATCTTTTTATTATATAATAGTCAGTACCTGGTGTGCCGATGGTATGAGAAAGATTATTGATGAGGTGAGAAAATGACCTTGACAATGACTGATTGCATGTTAAATACTCGTGGTGTTACAATGCTATTACTGCCATTAACCGCAGACATGTTCAACAATTTCTTTGATGTGGCCTGGGTCTAAATTTTGACCACCTCATTTGATGTCATACGTGTCAGGACGCTGTCTTGCAGCAATGTATTTGAAATTTCTCAGGGTGCAGTAACTCGGTGATTTGTTGTTCGAATGTGTTCTTTCCCCTTCACCTGCACATTCTAGAAAAACCTTCCGTAACATACCTCGAAATGTCGCCAAGTCATCGTAAAAACTGTCACCGTACGTCCGGACCTTATGCCAGAATGTTTCGTTAAAATGTTGATACAGTTTAAAATCAGCGCTGTTTATTTCCAATATTCGCTGTTGTTCCCAATCATTAATTCCGGGACGCATTTTGTCGCTTCTTGTATTCTGCTTTAAATACACAATGTCTTCATATTTCCAGCACAGAAGCCTTTTTAGC